CCTCTGGTGCAAATTACTGACCTCTGTCATCATTTTAAGTGGGGGAACTTGCACAATCGGTGGCTGACTAAATACTTTTTTGCCCCACTGTATATATATATATATAAATAAAGGAGTGAGTGAAAAGGGTTGGAAAATAGAGAACAATAGAGAACAAGACTTTACAAAGCGAGGCTTAAAAACAAAGGAAATGTTGGTTTAAAAACTTACTGTAGGTTGCATAACATATTGTTGATGTGGCATCCAAGATGTACTCTGAACCTGAAGAAAGAGATAGGAAGGGAAGGGAGAAGGAGAGGATGGACACGAGTAGGATGATGCAGAGGGGAGGTCAGGGCGAGATGAGAGGAAAGGAAAGATCAAAAGCAAGATTGTTATAAGTGGGTAAAGAATTGAGGAAGAGAGAACATGAAGAATGACAATTGGAAGACAGAATGACAGGAAGCGAGTGAAAATGAGAAAACCAAAGAAGAGAAGTAAGAAAATTAATCATTATCTCAAGCCTTTACAAGCCAATTTCAGAGCCTCAGTCCCAGCGGCAGCATGTCTTAAAGAATATTAGAGCAGTAACTAAGGGTCCACTATACAGAAAGTTTGTCGTAATTATAAAAGGATATGAAGACCACAGAGAGCAAAACAGTCTTAACAATTACTGCTTCACAGTGAGGGTTTCATCATCAAAGCTCAAGTTGGCCACAAATCATACTTTCATCTTGTTCTCCTTCCGACCGCTCAACTCTAACAAACTGAAGGCAGAAATGAGTCTCTGAGGGTCCCTTTGTCTCATGCATTATTGTTGTATGCACACATCCTGTACCTGCATCTGTATGATCTCTTACCTACGTCTGTCAATGATGAGTTAAAGCAATGAAAGGTAATGTTTTTTCTTTCCCTATAAAGCATGATGCTTTAAGTCACGAGTCTTTGAATTTGGCTTTCTTATAGAGCTCCATCTTGTTTTTGGGTACAGCAGCTGCACTGCCAGCTCTGACATAACTTGATATGGTTTGTGTGTGGAAGAGAACGAGTGCGACACATGACAGCTGAGAGTTAAAAGCAGCATTTGTGCTCAAGAATGGGAGATGGATAGGAAGAGTTCTGCAACGTAAGCCTGCATTTTATCATTTGGTAGACAAAGAATTGCCTTGATTCTACAGAGCTGATAACTTTATTTTGGGTTCATATCTTTGGTTAAGTATGACAAACTCCACCTGTACATCCAGGAATTACTCTACATAGAGTCAGGAATGGGATTTTCTGGTTTTAAGTAGGCCACGGCACTCATCAAACTTCTGAGAGGTTAAACTCACCTGATATGTGGGGACAGGAGAGGCAGCAATGAAGGGTGTGATCGATGTCTGAGCAATCATCCGATTCGTGGAGATGCTGTATGGAGAAGAGTAGAACCTATGAAAGCACAAGACATATACATTTTAATTTTGACTGTCCACATCATCTAACTTCTAATAATCACCTGGGAGGGAACCAAACTCGTGGATTAACAATCCAGAGGTTTCTCTGCAGTTTCAGCTCACCCTACATAACCACATGTAATGCTGAAAATGAGGCTTTTGTCTCAGTTTGTTTTGAACTACCCAGTACACTTCAAGACAACACTGACAAAATGGATCAGACATCATCAAGGCTGTCATGGAAACAATAAATATTGCAGCTTCACTCTATGTAGCACAATCAAAGACATCTTAGAATGAGACTTGACACCGCACCAGACTACACATCATGTTACAAAGGAGTCTGCGCCACTGCTACGCATAATAATGAATTATTACCTTAATGTGTGAGTGGGTGAAATACTTCAGTATTGCTCTTTATGTTTCCACCTACGCACGCCCTACATCCCATCGGTTGCATCTGTAACATCTGCATTTTATAATCTATTCACTTTTCCTACGCCTCTATTTGCCCTTCTCATTTTGATCTCTTTTTCCCCCCATTTCACCCCCTCAGCCCTGCAGCTGTAGAATGCTGTGGCTCGCAGTGCTTTATTTATCATTGTGTACCTAGAGAGGACATGTTTCATCCGCCAAGCCGTGTTGCTGTGCCCGATCGATCCCAAAGTGTCTGTTGACTGAATAATGGAGCCAGTGAGGGGAGGGGAAACCAAGGGCCAGAGACAGAAAGCGAAGCCCTACCCTATCCATCTCTAACACAGCCATGATTGTAGAAAAAAGGTACTTGCCACATATCAAGTGTTTCTCAATCAGGGAAGAAAAAATTACCTGAATAAAAAGACAAACTCATTTTTAATTTACTTTTAAAAGGCAACTTCAAACTACTGTTAGGTCGCTCCATATTATTTCTTAAAATCCGCAGTGAGCACAACATATAGTAATAGCCCATGCACGGAGATGACAATGGGGCTCAGCCAAAGACAGAAAAACCTAGAGGGACTGTGGTGGTAGTCGCCTGCGACACATGCACACATCTCATTTCAAGGGTGAAATGGGTTCCTGAGGTACCCACCTGTTCTGTTATTGCACATTCTGTTTCACATTACATTTGTTCAGTCAGTGACGGCATGAGCAGTTTTGAACCTCAACTGCGAGATGTAAACCGTCAGATATTTTTAAACTATTGCGGCTCAAGGCTTGTGCATGCAGCCGGTTCCCAACTGCCTGCGATAAGCTGCAGAGCGTGATTGTGCTTTTCACAGACATTCAGTCTCCCTGTTGGATTTTTATGCCCTACTTTGTGTGCCGAGGCCTAAGTAGTAGCTGTACATATATAATAGAGACACGCCAGTTATTTGTTCATTTATTTCTTTTAATACAACATGGCTCACTTCTGCTGAACCAGAAAAAGAAACGTAATTCGTGGCAGGTTTGGTTCTAATTCATCTGTGGCTCGATTGCGTGTTTTGTCTACTTTTAACCATGTGCAACAAGCAAACATTAGTCGTATTGTTGCAAAGTGAAAATCAGTACAGCTTCAGAAAGAGCAAAGATCTACAGAAATGGCTAGTATAGATTTCATAGAAAATATATGTGCAAAAGGAAAAAGACTGTTCTGTGAACCCCAGTATTTTGTTTTCTGAATTGTAGCTCTATGGCATCAGAGGTACAGCCTATAATTGGTTCCAGAGTTATGAGAAAACAATATGTACAGTTGGAGTTGGACAGGGATCGATGCTAGGTCCTGAACTTTTCATTTTAATCATGAATGGTAATCGGAATTCAGAAAAAAAATCTATATGTACAATTTGCTTATGATATCACTGTCCTGCTAATACGTTACATACATTGTTGTTATTGTCAATGAATCAGTCAAATTTAAACAATGGTTTAATGTCAATGGAATAACTTTGAACATACACAAAACAAAATATTTAAGAAATAGCAGTAAAAATGTGAAGTTTGGTGTTATTACCAATGGAACAAAAAAAATGGTGGATGGAATCAAATTTCTTGGTGTGATAATAAGGTTTGCAAATAGTCAGACTGATTTTAAACTAACTCCAATTTATTAATGTTTTATTGCCCTTTTAACAACAATGTATTCAGAGATCTCACCAAGTAGTTTTACAGTTTACTATTTATTAATGATGGCTATTCTAAGCTACAACTCACTTTCAAAAATGTCTCCAATTCTTTTTTGCCTGAGAGTAACTGCATATTCCAACTTTAGACATGACATTATATTGCAGGGTTTAAATAAATGTAGATAAGCTGGAGTACAAACTGGAACTTGTTTGTCATGAATGAGAATCAAGAGAAAAACACAATAATGCGGTGCTATGGATCCATCTTTTTCACTGTACAGTTAATAAATGACTTGCATTACAGATACTGTATTACTGTCACTGATGAATACAAATGAGGTGACAGGGCCAGGTTATTCAATGTGGTTTTCTGATTGTGTTTATTGTATTTTCATTAGACTGATGTGTATTGAGAGAGAGAAGCAGAAGGCAGAGGACAGACCCAAGGTTATTGATGTAGGCTATTAGCCCTGAGCAGCCAACTGTCAATGGGGACCCCGGCACCGCTATTTAAACAATGCACTAAACATGTAATTGCAAACAGAACATTATTACAGGACTGAATTTTAAAACCTCTGTGGATCCCTAGTGTGATTTAATGCCCTGTCAGGCGTTTACGCTGAAAAATTACTGAGTGATTTAGTGGTGACCCCAGTGACTTTTCCTATAGATGGAAAAGGGAAGTAAAAAGGGCAAGAAAAAAAAGACAGGAGATACACTTAATGGGAGCTAGTAGATTTAGAATAAGCAAAAGTAGGTTAAGATAAGACAAACTATAAGCTTTCCAACAATGTGTGTCTGGCAATGGATGCTTTAAAATAACCCAAAAACAAAACAAAAAAAACCCCTAGTTGTCCTCAAGCTCACAGTGAAACCTGTAATTGATTCATACCTTTCCCCTCTCCTTGGACTGACTTTATTTCTGTCTTTGCCCTCCTCTTGACCCTACTCGGCCCTCCATTTTTATTCAACCCACTTCCCTCCCTGCTTTTTGCCTCTCTAATTAGCTGCATTAGCATTTCACAGTCATTTAGTGCTTCGCCGGAAGGAGCTACGATGACCTCGGAAGAGAGGTTGGAGAGGGCTTACACACAGCAAGCACGCAGATGCTTGCGTGAGAGTGCCCATTTATGCATGCACGAATGAGCACACTCGCACCGAAAGACACCAAAGACGACTGAAAGCAAAGCAGCTGTTTGAAAACAGAATGAATGAGAAGAATTGAGCAATACAAAACAATGTGGACAGGGCAAGAAACAAGTCAAAAACAGTGAAAAGAAAAAGGACTGTATAATTTCAGATGAACTAGAAAAAAAAAGAAAAAAGAAAGAGTGGCTTTAAGGTATAAAGTGGCGGACCAATCTGACAAAAGGAGGAGAAGAACAAGAGTGCAGAGCTGCAGGGAAGCATCTCCAGGGATCACATCACCAGCAGCATTCCTACCAGACAACACCAATCTCCAATTTCCCCCTGAAACAGGCAGGCACTCTGCTCTCCTCAACCAACTTGGGAGCACTGCAGATAGCCTCGGCTGATGAAAGTATTACAGCAGCACTGCAACAACGCCCATCTTCCTGTCTGCAATCAAAACCTACAACTCTGACAGCTTGTATGCATAGGTGCATAAATAAATGCTCCATCTGCATCAGTTAGGTGTAAGAATAAGAGCAAACGCCAGATAGTATTTGTGTTCTGTATCAGTGCAGGTATATGGGTTAATGTGTGTTATGTGTGACCCTCTCGTTTGCATGCAGGTGCTCTTGTGCATATTTCTGCAGGTTGTTGCCATGTTTCAGTGCACTGATCTTAGGAGGATTTTATACTGTCACTCTTGAACAAGCTGCGTGTAACAATGTAAGTAAAAAGTCAAGCTTGGAGACACTCTTTAGATCGAGGTTGTTCGTGCGAGAGGTAAAAGAAAAAAAAACTTTCTACATACCCATTCTGCATCGCTGTGGGGTCATACGTCAACGCCATACCACTCTGGAGAAAGAGAAACACATACACCGACATGTTAAATACATGGCTTGCCTTTTAAACCAATTTGTGTTTGTGGTCTTTATCACATATACAGCTACTCTATACAACTAAATAAACAATAAAGTAGGATATAGCTATTGTACGTTATAATGTGTAATGAACAGAGAAAGCAAACTATACAAGAGCGTTGTACAAAAAAACAACACAAAATTCAAAAGTGACTGGGATATAAGGACCTACTGAATGAACAATAGATAAATAGTCTAAAGACTCCAAAATAAGCCAGATAAAAGTTCTTATGTACAATAAAATGATTTGGAATAACTGCCTTTGAGCAAAAGAGCCATTTATAAGTGCACTCATTTTATTTAACATGCTCAACAAAATAAAACACATGAAGGTCAGTGAGGGACGATTGTTGCATGTGCTATATGACTATATAAAATTGGTGGGAACAAAATAAGTTCCCAGTTCAAACTGACTAAATTTTAGCAGACTAAAGACAGTGGAACGTTTTAGATTTTCTTTACCCTTTCTCCTTAAAGGTTTTTAAAAGTCAATCTTTATGGTATGAGTTTAACTCCACTATCTGGCCGGGGCTTTTCTGGGTTTACGTGGGTTCTCTCCAGGTACTCTAGCTACCTTCAGTCCACAGACATGCAATTATTGGGGTTAGGTTAATTGGTAATTCTAAATTGCTTCTATGAGTGTGACCCTGATAAGGATAAGTGGAAGAGAATGGATGGATAGAAGTTTTATGGTACTTTATTTTCTTTTATGAAAATCAGTTCACACTATACCATGTTTGATTATCATGAGGAGCATTCAAATAAATAAACAAGACATTAAGAAGTTGCACTACCACCTAAGTCAAATAAATCCACGCTAGTTGGCATTAATGGAGGTAACAGCCCAGCATAGGAGAAAGTTAGAGATGACTAAAAAAGTCCATAAGAAGGGTGTGGCTCAGGAGGTAAGTGACATCTGCTCAGGAGGCCAGTTGTTTGATCCCAGCCTTCTCTGGTCCAAGTTTAAGTGTTTTTGGGATGTGCCCCTGTGGTAAGACTCGACTTATGCGGTCAAAGAAGTGCAGGAGACTGATGCTGTCCAGTGTAGCAAGTGATTTATTCACCATTTTGTGACTGAAACAATATTTACAAAGAAACAAATAAGAAACTCAACTCTATAATTAACTCAGTTCAAATAAACATAACTGAACTTAAATCAACGGAAATTAAGGTCAAACTGCACACAGCTACACTGACCCGACCTTTTTCTAAAACACCTGAGTTCTTCTGCTTAAATAGTCCACTTAATCAAACAATTTCTCCTCTGGACTATTCCATTCAGTAGGTAGATACGATGAACATGATTATATTCAAGTCTCTACTACTCCTCTTTACTGGCAACATGAACTCTGGTGTAATCAATACATATTATAACAATAAATCTACTTCTTCATAAACCCTCTAAAATCAACTTTATTAAATTATAAGAGTTCTTCCCCTTCTGCACTTGGTCTCTTCCTGTGACCTCAGATGAACCCAGAAGCTATAAAGCAGGAAGTAAAACTACATTTCCTCCTTTTGTTTCTGGAAGGCAGGTAGGTAAGGTAAGTTCTAAACAATACAAATTAACAGTTGAAATAAATAACATGTTAACTTAACAAACTTGTAGGAATTGATTTAAACCAAGATGTTATATTATATAATCTGTAAAAGTGCAAAACATAAACAAACCCGGGATAGTAGATGTTTGCCTATTGCAGATTACATGTGAAATATGGTTAAATCAAAACAAGAATGTTAACTAAGAATATGGACAAATGGTTTTCTCACCCACTTTGTCACAGCCCCCCATGTTCCTAACACACATTTTATCTGTGTGTGTGCCTGAGAGTGTAAGAGATTTTTTCTACACAAGCATTGTCACAGAGTATCAATGTGTGTGTACTGTATGGATGAATGCGGCTCTTTCAGTGGTAAATAAGATAATGTTATATAATAGTAATAACACACACACAGGCCATTGTCAAAAAGTGCCAAAAGCACTCAAACTACTCATTGAAACAGCCCAAACTTTTCTTTTTGATCTATTTTTTGAGTTAAAGGTTTTTTTCCCCAACAGCATTATATTAGTATATTTCTATATTCCCTCTGTCCCTTCTTCCCTTCATAAAGCTGTTATTAAATGGTGACTAAATATGTTTAGCCAAGCATTTATCAGTGACACTAGCCCCTTTGTGGTTTCTGTGTGTCTCATTCCTTCTATCATGTTCAAATGATTGAGGCTGGGCTCAGATCTGCTTCCACTTGACTACCTCTTGGCAATTTTGGACCAGACTTAAAACAACTGTTTGCTCCTAATCCTTTTTTTACTCTGTCACCACCCCATCACCACCATCTATCAGCCCTACACAAGTCATTTGTACTTATTCTACATTCTACACAAGGCTCTTCTCTCCAAATTGGCACATGAGTTGAAAGGGTGCCCTGATGCTGAACCCAGCTCAGTGTTTGGTTTTTCCACAAACACTGTTTTAGCCAAGCCTAGAACACGTAACACTGACATGTGACAAATCGTCTGTATGTTAGGCGTTCAGAGGCATGACAGTGGTTTGGAATACATCTATACATGCAAATGTGTTTTACGTTGTGTTCATGAATCACTTTGGAAAACACTACCTGATAGGCTTAAGGTTAAGGTTATGGTTAGAGGTAGACAGCTGGAGCACGTGTTACCACTGCGAGTGCCATTCTATTGGATTCAATTGAGAATCTGGAGTAAGCGGAAGGGTACCTTTCAGGTTACTATGAGACGCATTGGGACGTGACAAATTGTATTTTACACATTGGGAATGAGAGTGCTCTGGAAATTAAGACATACAAAACCGGCACAGCTCCATAGTATTTTTATCTAGCAAATGAATGCCTGTATTTAAGCGAAATCTGAATAAAATGACATATTCACTTCACCCATTTCTGCAAAGCTGTGCGGACGTTAACCTGCATTGAAAAAAGGCTGTATGTGCTTTAACTGCTCATTTAGCTACACTCTCTAAGCAATGGCACTGCGTATGTGAAATCCACTGTGCAAAATACCACACATTTAATTGTGAATACATTTAAGTTGAGCTTTTTAATAATGTGATTAAGGTATTTACTGTGGCGGTTAAAGGCAGATGCATTTTTTGCAGGGATGTTTAACCTTGGCCAGCAGACTTTGCTCATTTCTGACTGTTTTATGAGTTATGTTTTATACTATTCAGTTGGAGTTTGGTTTTTTTGTTTTGTTTTTTTAACTCCCATTCCTAGTTGATGACACATTACAAAAAATACCACCAAAATTGATGGTATGGTGGTGCAGTGGTTAGCACTGTGGAATCACATTAAGAAGGGCCTCGGTTTGGGTCTGGCAGCCTGTTCTCCCTGCATGTTGTCCCTGTGTCTGTGTGGGTTCTCTCCAAATACTGTGGCTCACTTCCACAGTTGGTAAAATGAAGTGTGCATGGTTGTTTATCTCTTTGCGTTAGCCCTGTGACAGACTGGTGACCTGTTTATGGTGTGCCCAGCCTTTCGGCCAATGATAAGCCAGGCTATGACACATACGTTTGCTCTTATACAAAAAGACTAAAGCTGCAATCTGTGCCTGCTCCACACAGCCATGAGCAAAGGTCAAACACTGCAACATCTTGTTTTCATTGCGGCGCCTCTTGTTACAGTGCATAGTTTCAGCCTGGTTCCATTTCATTTCACTCCACCACCCTGCTCTTTCCCAACCTTCGTGTAACGAGAACACTGGGAAACTGTTAAAAACTGCACCGGGGTGTGTGGGTGGCAGCATTATTATTCACTTCCCCTTGTTCTGTAAATTAAAGCTTTGGTATTGACACTAAAAACTTTTGAACTCTCTGCATTGTGAAACAGTCAATCTGCTTTCAATCCTTTGCACAAGGTTTCATTTCTTCTGAAGATGACGGACAGGAGGTGGGAGTTTCAACAAAAGCAAAAACAACTTTGCAATTGGGACCTTACAGAGACCTTATACTTTAAATTTAACAACCTTTTTGTGTGCCAGCTTTCATACTGTCAGCAGCATCTCTAACTGAACCTACAGTGCCTTACTAGAAATGAAAGTGGATAATGACCCCACGGAGAGGAGGGGGATCTGTCAAGCTATTATGATTTTAAATTCTGTGGTATGTTGGAAAAAAAATGAAGTCAAAGGGAGCATCAGCCGCATATTGCAGATTATTAGAATAGATGATTTACAACTGTAACGTTTCCTAAAACATAATATGGACACCGCTGTGCATAATCACTCATTTCTTTGACTATTATAATAAAAGAAATGTTATCCTTCAGCTATAAAACGTAATTGAAAGAAGTTTAAATGATTTTTTTGATAACTGAAAACCCCCACTTGTTTTCGTTAACTGTAATTTCTCTTTTTAAAGTCCTCTCAGTAGACTTGTGTTCTGTTTTGTTTTTTCATTTTAATTGAGAAAAGCAAGAGACTATATTTAACAGCAGGCCAAGAGAATATTTTATCAAGTCTCCCAGGGAGCTTTTTTTGATGATTAAATATATTTTTAAGCCTCACCTCTCCTTCCCGTGTCCACGATCGTCCATTCTGGGGATATTTGACCTGGGTCTGTCTCTTCTTCTGGCCTCCATCAGCAAACTTGCACAGCAAAGGCTCTGAGGGAGCTATAGAGTGAGACAAGGACAAACACATTTATAGATTAATCACCTTATAAGTAGGAGAAAGTCAAACTATATGTTTTAGGTTAAATTTAAAAGATTACACTTAAAGTGTTTTATGCTACAGCTTAAATAAACTAAAAGTTAGTTGGTCCTGAAAGCAGCACTTCAGCTCTTAGATTTATCTCAGCCACCCGTAATCCAAACATTTACACAACACTAGTTATCACCCCATCTCTTTTTAGCCCCTCCAACCATGCTTTCAAAACAGCAACGCTGACGTAGGAACAAAGCCACAGGCTAATCAATAGTGCATGGTGTGTGAGGTTCAAACAGCAAACCAAACAGGCATACTTAATACGCTAAATAACTCCACGTAGTTTGACCCATGGGTAACAGACTGCAATTGTAAGTCCTCCAAAGAAAATACTGTCCCTCGCTGGACGAGAGAAAGAAGAAATGTTTGGTTACAAATAAGACTAACTTACAGTGACCGTCCATGTCTAAGTTCACCAAGCTTAAACTGAATATACTCTCAGGGTTTGTGGAACAGAAGGAAGTTGTCAGATTGTGAGAGGATTATCCAAAAAAAACCTAAAAGTCTGTGTTTACTATGATTTACTTTAAAGGCGTGTCTTTAAAAATTGTTAGAAAGCAAGCAGGAGTGGACAGTTACTTCATTTTCTGGGAAATGCTTCAGAAGCCACATGTCTTAACATTAAAACATATTACCATAACATGAACCAGGACACTCAAATAAGATATCTGATGCCTTGTCTATTTAGAGGATAAACAGACGCTAATCTGTTTTATGGCAACTGTGATGCTAGGGCATATTTCTTAGACTTTCCAGCTGCAGTTTAACCAACTGCAGCCAAAAACATGTACCCTCCACAACCAGCATTTTGCTTCACATATTTGACTGATTAAGTAAAGAAATTTGCATGACTATTTACATTGTAGATTCTCATAGAAGGCATCAAAACTATGAATGAACACATATAGAGTTGCGTAGTAAAAAACAAAATTGATTTTAGATTCTTCAAAATATCAATCCTTTGCTTTGATCACTGCTTTGCACACTCTTGGACTGTTGTTTCTCTTTACTTGGCTGATTGGTTCTTGCTATAATATGAATTCTAACATTCATATAGGACTGACAGCTGTGTACCAAGCTGACTTCTGCACAACACAACTGACGGTGCTAACCCCATTAAGAAGGCAAGAAATTCCACAAGTGAACCCTGATAAGGCACATCTGAAGTGAAAACCATTTCAGGTGACTACATCAAAAAAATCATTGAGAGAAGTCCGACAGTTTCTTTGAGGAATCTACAACATAAAACAAATTTAGAGTTATTTATTACATTTTTCTTTGCTACATAATTCCATATATGCTTCATGTATTTAATGTCTTTAGTAAGTATCTACAATGTAGAAAGTAGTAAAAATAAAGAAACAACATTAAATGAGAAGGTGTGTCCAAACTTTTGACTGGTAGTGTATATATATAAAATATTCCATGATTTAAAAGCCATTAAGCTTGTATTTACCCTAAAGAAGACAAAGATCAAACAAGAACGACCCGCCAACAAATACAACTGAAGTAAAGTCCTGGCAAAGGGGCAAACCCATTACTGCTGTTCACAGACTCCAAGTATTTTTTTTTAACCTTCGTTTAACTAGGAAGTAAAATTGACATTAACGCCATCTTTTTGTGAGACTGTCCAGGACTGACATAGGCAGATTTAACCTGGCATGTTATTTTGTTTTATTCTCTCCCCAGTGGTGACCGAAATGAGCTCACCCACAGAAAATGTATACAAGCACAGAGGGTTGAACCCAGAGCTCTGGCTCTGAGGCAACAGTGCCCAAGCATTCACTCGTGGCTTTAGATTCTTAAAGTCTTAAAAATTTGCATATTATTAATGACTATGTTAATTCATCCAACTAAATCTAGGTAACTGAAAGTAATTTTTCCGAACTCTTGAAATATAGCTTTAAATATGTTCTTCAGTTAAATCCATCCATACATCAATTTTCTGCTGTTTATACAGGTGCTGCAGAGGCAGAAATTTAAGCAGAGATGCACAGGCTTTCCTCTTCCCAGAAACCTCCCCAAACTCTCCTTGGGGGAAACTGGAGCATTCCCAAGCCAAAGAGATACAATCTCTCCAGCGTATCCTGGCTCAACCCCAGGGCTTCCTCCCAGCTGGACCAGGAGTGGGCACTCCAACCTTTGAGATTGAGTACCACAGCATCACACTTATGCTTATTCTCATGCTAAGCGCTTCTTATTTGGCGTGAGGTGCTCCAGTGCAGTGAGGTATTTGCTTCATAAAGCCAAAGGAACCACAATAAAAAAAAATAAAAAAAAGCAGAAATGAGACCGTAAGACCACCTTACCCAACACAGTCTCCACTATTTGCGGTTAAAAAAAATTAATCCAGAAGCACCTTTATTTGGGCAAGTATCTAAAGGCTAAGGCCAGCCACCCGGCCAGAGTCTTGAGGTACTCCCAAGACCTGGCTCCAGAATAGGGCTCCCAGTACCCAGAGGTTTTCTTCTTTGTAGGGATCTGGCTCATCACCTAGGCCCAATGTGCCTTAACCTCCTAGGACCTGGCGTCCACATATGTGGACATCATATTTTGGGTTATTTAGACCAAAATATTTAATTTTGCTCTACTAGGGCCTGATATCCACTTACGAGGACATTATACTGCTGTTTTCTATCAAAATTTTAAACGAATATCCTCATATGCGGCTCTCATTTTTCTTAGGAACAAAAATCAGGTAAAAAAAAAAAAAAAGAAAAAAATCTGGTAATTCTTTGTTTTTACATTCATCGGGTCCCAATCAGCCCAAATATCAAAGAGAAATTAAAAATGCATGCCATGGAAGAGTTCAGGTCTTAGGAGGTTAAGAGACTCTACCGAGGGCATATTGCCCTTGAAAGCACTAGGAACTATTCTTCGAGGTTGCATCTCAACTTTATATATGTTGTGTTGGCATACAGAGCAATTTTGTCAGTGTCCAAACATTTCCACATGCAACTGTAAATCTGTCACACAGCCACCACGGCAAATGTACTTTCTTTCTAGGATGCAAAAACTCTGAAGTGCTATACTGCTTCAGCAGAGGCAAACTGTTGGGACAAGTCTTCTATTTAGCTTGTAAAGACTACTCTAAACCCTCAAACTGAATAAGTTACATACTTCTATGCACTCTTAACCCTTAACCAGCCGCATACCTTTATGCAATGCCTCTGTTTTTTATTTTATTTTAATATATCCACAAAGTGAGGTTTTAACTTACTGATCCATCTTTGAAGAGGCTATAAGCTGGCACTCTGAAATTACTGCCAAATAGGATAAAATGGCAAAGAAAGTGAAATCATCATCACTGTGTGTAGTATAGAAATTTTTTAAAGAAAAGCAAAACAACAACAAAAAACCAACTGCAAATTGCAATATCTTGAAGCTGGTACTGATTCACACATTATGAATGCCAGAATAAACTATGCAATTATCTTGCCTACTTCAAGAAAAATATTTCTTCATCTTGGTAAAGTGAAAAATGAGAAGAGGTATTCTCAGTGGAGAAAACCATTTAGAGCTTAAAGACTGAGATGAGAGTTCTTTAGAATGCCTGGGGCCATGACGGGCACTCTAAGGGTAATGATATAAAGACACATTTCCATTTGATTATAACACATTTAGAAGAACTTTTTCATTCAACTATGTTAACTTGATTTTGTCCAACAGGTCACATGGCGTGGCCTTCTGTTATCATCCTTTGCTTTTCATCTTTCTGAATCAATCTGCTTCTCTTTGTCTTTTACCTGCTCTGCTTCATGCATTAAATGACCTTTACTTTTACTAAAATCACAGATAGTCACACGGATGCAACAATGGATGGACTGAAGATATTTGGGAAAAAAAGAAAAGTGGAAGACGTCAGTTCACCTACCACAAAAAGTTTAAAGTTATTTATAATCAATTATGATCAAAAATAGTTAAAAATTATCACATTTATATTTTTGATTAGACATAATAACTAACAAAAATACAATCATAAATTATAAGTTATTTCTTATTAGACATGTGTCCTGTGATTTCTATTTTTTAATGTGAAAAGCTATCTACCATTAACACTGGCACTCAGTCACAATTTTAAAATAAAGGCTGCATTTGTTATTTTTTTCCGCTCACAGCTGTGACAGACAGAAGGCCATGCTATTGATGGCAGATAATTTATCAAGTTTATATTTGCGATACTTTGTCTGTGTTTTATAAAGACCAACACTTCAGTTGATTGAAAATAATTATACATTAATTATGTGTGTTTTGAAACTTTCTTTTTATTTTCCAGCTTTAGCACAGTTTGTTTTCTGGCACAACAGATGAAAACGAGTTTCTTTTATTGTTAGAATTAGTAATTAAAAAATAAGTACGTAAACATGAGAATGGAGAATTGTAAAGCATAGATGTCGTCACCCATAGATGTGACAGCTGGCTGCTAAAGGATGAAAAACAATCTTTTAATCTCAGAGTTTTTCTTGATATTCCTAACAGCAACATGACAACAAGATATTCCTGTGAGGTAACTACAGGAGTTGCAGTGACCTTATTTAGTTGTGTTTATTTTAAGGCCCTGAAAGCAGCACACATTTTATCCACACAGACTTAAAAATGTAAAACATTTTTTGCTGTCAGCTGTTTATATACCTGATCTTATGAAATGACTCAAACATTAAACACAGGCCAGCTGCTGTGGGCCACTGTTTGCAAATGCATATGCATCAGTAAAGTTAGACCGATTTGGCTGCATCAGTGCTATGGAGCTGCTGCAGGGGTTGAATATATTAATCTGGGGAAACAAATTGGACAGTTTCAGAAGCAGTGGTTTTTGTTTTTATAGATTTTGTTCACTTTTGCCATCTCATTGGATACCTGGAGTGTAACCCTATTAAACCCCAGGTATCAATGATTTCATAATTCTGCC